GCGGCTCCGTAACGTCTCTCAGAGCCCGTCCATCAGCGCCAGCAGGTCCTCGCCCTTCCCGGAGCTGGCCGGTCGCGGCTCCGACACCTCCAGCTCCCCCAGGATGCGGGAGAGCTCCGCCCGCCGCCCCGGGTCCTGCGGGAGAGACACCGCCTCAGCCCGCCGGTACCGCGCACCGGCACCCGTCCCGCAACTGGGCTGTACTGGGACGTGCCCGACGGCCGGGTGATACCCCAAACCCCTTTAGAAAGGGCCACAGCCGCCAGGCTGTCACCGCAAAGCAGGAAAAGGACCCAGTTCTCCGGCTGAGACCCCCCAACCCCTTTAGAAAGGGCCACAGCACCGCAAAGCAGGAAAAGGACCCAGTTCTCCACCCTGCACAGCTAAAAACTCGCTCTAATGTTTGTCAGGTTTCAAGTTACCTTATTAAATAGTCACCAAATCTAGAAAATACTGCTATTGCTTATTTCCGAGCTTAACTGAAGTGGGGAAAATGGTATTTTTTAGGGTACTGCTCTGGGTGAAACTCGTCTCTCAGCAAGGCAGGGAGGATGGGAAGGGAGGATCCGAACGGCGCTGTACGTACCTGCGTGGCCTCTATGTTGATAACCCTGTAGGACAACTCCTCTGGCCTCGTCAGCGCGGCGTGTCTTGATTAAAAACACAGAAAGAGCACTTAATCTTAGGAAGACATACAAGTAAATTATAAAAATCAAATTTCATGAGGCTTCCTATCAGGAAACCTAATGTATTGATTCCAGTTTGGAGGCTTTTCCCTGTCTTAGATTTTTTTTTTTCAGCTAATTGTAGAACAGTGCCAACATCTCTGCAGCTGAGATTAAAAGGAGGTAAAAGACATACAAGTAAATTATAAAAATCAAATTTCATGAGGCTTCCTATCAGGAAACCTAATGTATTGATTCCAGTTTGGAGGCTTTTCCCTGTCTTAGATTTTTTTTTTTCAGCTAATTGTAGAACAGTGCCAACATCTCTGCAGCTGAGATTAAAAGGAGGTAAAAACATTCTGCAGAAATCACATAACAAAAGTCTCCCTCGTGCTCCCTGCCAGGAGGGGGACAGGTTTCAAGCCCATCAGGCTCATCAGCTCTATCAGTTCTATTCTTATCTCTGAAAGATGGAGATGTATCTGGAGGAAAGGAGAGTGAAAAGGGCTGAAGGGATGTCTAAGGGACAGAACTAAGCACAGATGGTCACCTGCTGCTGATGGCCAGTGTCACTTGGAGGGTACACAAGGCCGGCCATCGGGGAGACACCAGTAAGGGCAATGGCTCTCCTTGCCACCAGCCTGAACAAAAAGGTCAAACCAAGGAAACATCCCCTCTTTTGTTCCTGTAGGGACCATCTGGACCATAATAATCCAATGCTGAACCCCTGCTATTCTGTCCCTAAAGCTGTTCAGGGCCAGCTTTAGTCCCAGGGCTGTCCATGTGGCACCACATCACAATCCCCAAACCAAGAAGGAAAGAAGGACTCGTGCATACTCTTCTTCCTCGTCAGTTGTGAATAAATTCAGCCGAAATCCTGTCTCGCTGCCACCAGGTGTCTTGGTCTCCAGCCCTCCCAGCAGCCTGGCCAAAAAGTTCAGTTCTTCTTTAGCAAGAGGGTTTGGGACTGTGTTCTCCTGCAGCAAACAGCAAGGGGTTCGTTAGTCAGGTTACCAGGGAGACGACGACTGTAATCTTTGTTGTTTTTCTATTGTTACATAAATGTTCTTCAGAGTGATATAAATACATTTCTGTATTGTTAATGGCACAGATTGTGCAGATAACTAGCAATTATCAGCTACGTATGTGAAATGGTTGCTTGAATTTATAGGCCCAGGACAAGATAATTTTTCAGCTAAACGGAACAGCTGAGAAATCTGTAAAACCAGCTGTTTTCTGAAGAGATGAAAATAGGAAGCAAGAACACCATTGCATAAGCTTGTGTGTAAGATTCTTTAGGAAAATGTGCCCTTCCCCAGCTCAAAAGGAACCCATGGAGGATTGGATGGGGCTCTGAGAAGAACAGAACAGGTTCCCCTAAAATGACCCATAACTGTAGACTAAAAAGATGGTGATTTTTTCCCTGAGAAAGGAGATGAGCAGAGGGGAAGGTAGTACAACTGTGTAGTAAATGACTTGGAGATGACAGATGGGGGTGTTTCGTTCAGTGACCCCATCTATTGAGAGACAAGGGAAGCAGAACATGCAGTCTGGTGGCTGTGGTGAAACTGCTCCAAGGAAAGGCTCCCACCACGAGGGACAGGCTGCAGGACTCACCCACACAGACCAGTTACCCAGTGACAGGACAGAACCCCACTGACCTTCGCATGAGATGCCAAGTTTTTGGATGATCCTGACATGTGTGTCTCTACCGGTCGACTGACGCTGTACCTGCAGGGACAAACACACGAGGAAGAGCAACCTGTTACTCCTCTGAGATACAGGAACTGGAGGAAGAGCACAGTAAATTAAATTGGAAGAAAAAAGATTCAGATTAGATATCAGGAAGAAATTTTTTGCTATGAGGGTGGTGAGACACTGGAACAGGTTGCCCAGGGAAGTTGTGGATGCCCCATCCCTGGAGGGGTTCAAGGCCAGGCTGCAGCACAGTATCTATGATTTTAGGATATTTTTCTGCAGACTGTAAGTAACTGAAATGAGAAGCTACAGTTCAGTTTTGTGGAGCAGTGAGGCATTAAAATGTGTGAGTGAAAAAGCTGTAAGAAAGAACACTGCTCTCTTATTCTTTGAGTGGAAAAATTACAGCAAGACAAACATGGAGAACAGGAAGGATTTCTCGAACGCAGTCAAAATTAAATGACATCTCACACAATATGCAGTACCAGATGAGAAGACTATTTACTCAGCTCTACTGTAGACATAAATCAAAGTTTTGCTTTTTTCCACAGCTCTTTATACACATCTGTCCATGTGTTCTGTTTCAGGACACCACTTTGTAAAAAAGTCAAGCTGAATATAGCGAGAGGCAAACCCACAGAAGGCTGAAGATGTACTTTTGAACATATCCCTAACCATCAACATTTACTTCATGTTTCTATGTAGGACAAAAATTACTTACATATTTGTTCCAAGTTTGAGGACTCTGTCTCCATAAAGATCAAAAGATCCTTCCCTCAGTGGAGTAACATAATTTCCATCAGTGGTGAACTCAGTTCTTTTAACTTCATCTCCATTGGGATTAAACATCCTTAAAAACAAGTCATTATTGAAACACATCTAGTAGTTTTACTGCTGATTTTCAGCACTGACTTCCTCTGCTTACGGCACAAGAAAAAGGGGAATAAAACCCTCTTCTATATGTTGGTAAATGCCTATTTTATAGGATAAATTACTAATAGCTAATTTGTTGGAATAGGAAATGCCTAGAGCTGGGTCCTCTCAGGCCTCTGGGACCGACTGTCCCCCGTGAGCAGCCACACACACAAGGCAGTGTGGATCCACAGCAGCTGGGAACCCACCTGATGAGTCCTGGAACTTCTGTACCCCAAGGAACGGGGCCCGATATTGGCAGCACGAAGCGACCATTAGAGTTTTGTACTTTATCCTTCAGAAAAATTGAGACCTGCAAAAAAATATTCCACCTTCAAGAAAATCAATTGCATTATCTTCTGATGCGAACGCTTTGAGGTCTGACCTTGCAGCCTTCCCACCTAGACTGGGTACATTTCCTAGAGATTTTGGTGCATAGACAGAGACTTTGATCCAGGCCAAAGCCAGCTAACGTAGAATTGTGGTCCAGAGTATGGGCACACTGATCTAACATTAAAAAAAGTATTTTTTATATATACAAAATACGTACTGTCTATGCACTCGAGTATGACCAATTTATTTTGACAATATCAAGCCCATGACTTCAAGTTCAAGTTTGTACTAAAAGGAAAAGCAGCTTTATCAACTAGAAAATCCTTATTAGTAGAGATTTTTTTCATAACATTTTAGAATTATTGAGTATTATTGTAGTAGATGTGCTCAATTTGTGAACTTTTGAAGACTGACATTACAAGCACATCAAGATGCCTGAAAAGCAGAAGTGACAAACCCAAACCTACAAGATACCTTCATATTCTAGCCACAAACTCCCTCTCATTCTGACTAATTGTATTGGGCTCTTACCCTTATGTGCATGTCCTGGAAGAAAATGAGGAGTGTTTGCCTGATGAGCTGAAATTCACCAGCAGAGAGACAAGTGTAGGTCTGGAAAAGAAAAACCATCATGTAAGGCTTTGCCAAGTGCACCACCTCCACCCCAGGTCCAGGTGGAAACAAGCACACCAGAACACTGCTGCCCAGAAGCAGTAAAAAAAAATCTCAAACCGCAGGGTTTTCCACCATTTCTCTAAGGATTCTTACTTCAATCAGCTGCCGGAAAGTCTCATCCACCTGGTTCAGGATGCCAGGGGAATCATGTATGAAATCCTTGATGGCGTCCAGGTGGTTGAATGTGATCAGCAGAATGTCTTTGGGCCGGGGGCACAGCAGGACTTGGTATTTGAAAGCCATAGTCATAAGGTCATACAGCTGCAAAGTAACACGGGGAAAATTTGGTTCCAGCACAAGAGAGAGAGAGAGAGAGCACAACACTGCTCTGGTAACTCAACGCTGATGTACAAAGGGATTTAGGCATTTAGGCCAACACCTGCCCATGCTAAGAAGAACCATTTGAGCTTTATTTCCTAACAAAATAAGACCTCTGCAATCACATGGGCACCCTCCTGCTGGTCTCCCTCTCTAACTGCCTTTAAAACTACTGCCAAGCTCAACGCCACCGACACCTGGGCAGAGGTCTCTCAGGTAATCCAGCT